GGCCCGGCGGGGGGGGGGTTCCTCCCCGCAACGCACCGAGCCCTGAGGGGCTTTTCCAGCTTCCTGCCCTGGGTCACTTCCTACCCCCTGCCCGTAGCAGTCCCACCTGTCGGCGCTGGTCGGGTGGCTGTAGCGACACTTCCCCAGTCAGCGTCAGGGTCAGCAGTGTCCGGTCTGGTGCCTGGGTGACGGGGGGGTCGGCCGGCGGCTCCGTCGCTGGGGGCGAGCCCGGCTGGGGCCTGGCAGCAGCGCGTTCAGCCATCCTGGCAACTCCCTCCCTGGCAGCTGAGTGCTAGCTCCCACTCGGGCCGTGGTCTGCCCCTTGGGAGCAGGCCAGCAGCCTTTTATATCTTGGCTCCCCTCGGAGCATGCCCAGTAGGGCTGTGTGGGTGGGGCCCTCTCCACTCCCGGCTCCAGGTGGTTTCCCTGGGCTTGAGTGCGGGGCGGGGCCGCCCCGTCACAGTGACATTACTGGAAGATTGACAGAAAAGACCAAATTACCTTACTGGAAGGTATAACATTCAGCCTTCTACCACTCTCTGCATGTTCCCAAGCTGCTCAGAATGGCTGAGTAGTGGAATTCATATGCAGAATTTACCTTTTGAAGACCAATATTGCAACACTTGCAGAGCTACATAGGTAGATCTTTTCCAAGCACCAAACAGAAAAAAAATGCCTTTGGCAAAAAATGCATTTACACCTGCTATCAAGCTATAAAATGGCTCCAAGATGATCAAGGGGATGAATTTAGCTATAACTGCTCAAGAGAGAGATCTTGGAGTCATTGTGGGTACTTCTCCGAAAACAGATTCAATGTGCAGCAGAGTAAAAAAAACCCCAAAACCCCAGAATGTTAGGAATAATTAAAAAAGGGATAGAGAATATCTTATTGCCTCTATATAAATCCATGGTATGTCCACATCTTCAATACTGCATACAGTTGTGGTTGCCTCGTCTCAAAAAAGATATATTGGCATTGGAAAATATATTAAAAAGGCAACACAAATTATTAGAGGTTTGGAATGAGTGCTGTATGAAAAGAGATTAAAATGACTGGGACTTTTCAGTTTAGAAAAGAGACTAAGGGGGATACGATAGAGGTCTATAAAATCATAAATGGTGTAGAAAAAGTGAATAAGGAAAAGTTATTTACTTGTTCCCATAGCATAGGGACTAGGAGTCACCAAATAAAATCAATAGGTAGCAGGTTTAAAACAAACAAAAATAAGTTTTTCTTTACATAGTGCACAGTCAAACTGTGAAAGTCCTTGCCAGAGGATGCAGTGAAGACCAGGACTTTAAAAGAGTTCAAAAAAGAACTAGATCAATTAATAGAGCTTAGGTCCATCAATGACTATTAGCCAGGATGGTTAGGAATAGTGTCCCCAGTCTCTGTTTGTTAGAGGCTGGAGATGGATGAGTGGAGAGGGATCATTTGATGAATTGATGAGGATATCCAAAACTACCGTCCCCACTGGGCATCGATGGACTTGGAGGATAAGACTGATCACTCCAATAATGCAGGATACATTGTACACTCCCAGATTAATCCTTCAGCTACACAAAATATCATATGCCAAGAGCAGATGTTCACTATCTTGCAAATGTCTGCCAGTTGTCTGCCTCACACAGAGATATGAGTGAGACATAGCTAAGGATTAATCTGATGTGTCTAGCAGTGGAGCTCTAGATGGAGATGACACTGATGATGACTTTGACAAATACATGTCCTACCTGTTAAGGCTCAGCTCCCTGGGATTAATAAACATCATTTTTTATTTAAGCAATGCATTTCTGTTTAAATTTAAAAAGCTGATATTTCATTATTTTCTCAAATATATACCTAAATAATTGTTTTGGGTTTGTCATACTTAGTAGCATTGTATTCAAGGGAGAAAAGGGGTTTTAGTAATACCCAACTTGACCAATTTCTGACAAAGTTCTAGTATTAGAATTTTGACTAACATGATGGGGTGAGGAGGTGCCAGGGAGACTCACCCTGCCACACTGCAGAGGGTGACGCAATTAAAATTATGATTCTATAGTTTTTTACAAATCAAACCATGTCTCCATAACACAACAGTAACTTGCCACTTTCCCCAAAATGAGATTTTATTACATTATCCTCCCAGACTGAGGTTACCGACATGAATCCTGAGTAAGTCAAAGATTTTGTCTGTGCACGTGTTTTAAATATAGACAGCCACAATTTTAAACCACTTTTGATAAATTAGTATAGTACGCTAATAGTAATCTGCAGGGGGGACTGATATACTCATAGACTTCCTGTGAGCAATTCTATTGATATGAACTTAGTAGTAAACCTGCACCATATTTTGATGGCCATATTTTACTATTATCCCTACAGCCATTGCAGCACTATATCTCTTTCTTTTGGGATGTTTCGCTGTTGAGTTTTCCAGAGGATCCAAAAATATCAGTAAATGAGAAGTTCCAGTCAACTGGACAAAAGAGCCACCGAGTCGATCTGTATATCCAGTATGGATTAAGTATTAATGTAAGTATACTTAACCCTGTGAAAAAGACAATACAATGTAGAGGTCCCAGATTTTCCACCACATCATTCCAATTGGAAATACACACCAACCACATGTGATAAATAAGAACCATGCGGCAGTGTTGCATATGAACCAGTACCCACTGGTTTGCCTTCCATAAAAGGGTATTTGCATAGCCAGTCTGAAAAGAGAAGAACAAAGAAAGATACCTTCAAGATAAGGCAGTCAGTGTTTTCTAGAGAAAAAGAAACTTTCCTATTGTAGTCACACAAACATTTGCTAAATCATTTTGCTAACAGAGTGCACATTTATATAGAACCTTTTGTCCAACAGAATTCTAAGTCACTTTGTATACTATGTGCATATAGCATAACAAAGATGCAGGATGGAGGAAGACAATCTAAACAAAACACGTCACAAAAATTTTGGGGGATCATCAGGGTCTGGGAAGTGTTGGCCAACACCACACAGGCAAATCATAGCACTCTAACTTCTCTAGCATCTACATGCGTATACGGGACCTTCATGTTTCAGGTCTTATTAAAAGCATTGCAGAAGGGCTAAGGTGATCCTTCCAGGACTTGTGGCTGTAGCTTTAAAGAATCAAGATACATTAGAATTTAAGCTTAAACCACTAAACATATTGCTGGTAACAGTTTGGAACGTGTGCTGATTTCTTCTCACCCTACAAGCATAGCAGGTCTCTTCAAGGATGTCTCCCTCTCTGCACAGAATGAACATAAAACACTCATGTGCAGGACTGACCATGAGGCGAACTGAGGCGGCTGCCTCAGGTGCCAGACTGTGGGGGGATGCCACTAGGACCCAGAGTGTTGAAAATTATGTCTGCCTCTGGTGCATCTGTATTCTCTCTGCTCTAGATGCACAGAGATGGTGGAGTGCTGTGCTGGAGGAAGGAGGGCACAAAGAACAGGAAGAAGTCAGAATTAAGACTTTTCAAAGTTTTGGCCCAAGCGAGAGGGGATGAGCTCCCTGCCATTTGAGCTCCCTGCCTCAGGTACCAAAATGTTGTGGGCCATCCCTGCTCATGTGGGAGTACACATGCATGACCTAAATGTCTCCAGTAGAAATGGAATGGTCTACATTAAGCTTATTGTAGCTGATTAGCTATTGTCATGTAACCATTTTTATTCTCTAAAAAAAGCCACCTCTTTTAAAAACAGAGTTCGAAAAATAATTTTTAGTGCTGTGCATTAAATCCTAGCTAGTGAGTCTATGAAGTAATTTTTAAAATAATCTGTTTTCTTTGCTACAAAATGGGTAAAAATCTTTTAAAAACATTTCAACAATGTCTATTTTAAATATACCATAATTAGGGATTCTCAAGACTTCAAGAAAAATTCTTCCTTGATCCCAGAACTAATTTTCCATTTTGGAGCCAGTATTTCTTTGCAGATTTTTTTTGAGGGGGAAGCAATGTGAGCATTACAATAGAAATTTCTATCACCAATAATTAATAGATTGAGTTCTTACTCTTCGAAGCAGCCAATATATACAGAGTGAAGGAGTGCTCATCTCAAGTAGCAGTCCCATCAAGGGTAGATAATGTCCTGATTTTATGTTAATTATCAGACCAAGAAGCCCAGCAAAGGCAAATAAATGATGAACTACCAAGAACACATCAAACATCCTAAAAACAATATTAGATATGTGAACAACTATATTTTCAAACAGCATGTATCCAGAGGCTATTAAGCAGTGAAACCAGCTCCATTTTTGCTGTGAATATACTTTGTCAACTTGGAAAACTGGATCTATGAGTAAGGCCCACAGCCCAGCTACACAATTCTGAATTCCAAGCAAGGCACGTGTGATAGCTATATTTGAGGAGACTTTTTCCTTTGCTGGAAAAGTGCGATAACTGGCACTGATCCATAAGGCTAGCCAGTGATTTAGAAGAAACACACACAGGTAGAAGAAAAAGCCAGCTGCTACTAACATCAAACGAACTTCCCACAGAGCATAGTACCAGTCAAATATAGCACTCCAGGTTTCACCATCATACACAAGAGTCATTACTTCTTCAATTCACAATATTTGGAGACAGTCTGAAACTTCTCACACAAGCTGATCTATACTTGAGCCTGTGTTGTTACACGAAGCAGAAACTCACCCGCAATTAAAGAAAGAAAGATAAGAGAGAGGCTCCCTTCCGTGCTGTCAGAACTATTAGTATCAATTGGTATTACAGTCCCTAAGTCTACCTTTTGTTCCCTAGTTTAAAAGATAATACCCTTTCTTGGTCTTTTCCCCTGTGACTGTTCCCTTCTACCCCCCCGCTTCCTGTTATTTCAACATTCATACAGAATATGCTATTTTTTACGAAGGATGTTAAAAGACGGGTAATTGACTAATGATATTGTATCAACTATTAAACACAATTAGTCGATAAGGGAAGGACTCTGTCCCAGCTTGGGCCACTTCAGGAGCTACCACCAGTGCGGCTTTGCAGTTTAAATGTAGTAGGAGCTATTAAATAATAATAATACATGTTTATTAATAATAATAATTAATAATAAGTTAAATAAAGAAAGCCCTGCTTCTTACAGTTCTCTCTTCAGTGAGGTGTTTTAACTATGTATACAGCATCAAGGTCTGCACATTTGTAGGTTTTGTATGCACAATGCAGAACAGACATGGGGAAACAGGTGGACAAAGCATACATTTCCAAGGGGTCTTGTAAATAATAGCTAGCAGATAAGAAAGTAGAAAAAGAGTACATTGTGATGGCCTTTAACTGCAGCACATGGGTACCTCGTGATTTATTCAGGGCCTGGTTCACAAAATTAGTACAGGCTGAACGACTTTAGTCCAACATTCTCTAGTCCAGCTACGTTAGTGATCCAGCATGATTGTAATTAGCCGGATGTCCACTTATGGGTATTGTCAAGTTTCCCAGTGTCCCATAAAGTTTGTTTACAGTACCACTCCTGGCTCTCAGTGTTCTGTGCTGTTATTTAGCTCTAATTTACCCTTAAATGTTTTCTAAGAGTCCAGTAAGCAATGGAAGTGTTGATAATGTTGCTAGACAATATAGACCCTCCCGCAGTTCAGCAAATTCTCTTTTTCAGCACTAGTCAGGTCCCAAGGATGCTGGACTAGAGAGGTTCAACCTGTAAAGCCAATCATAAAGCATGTGATACAATGTACTGCACATGTTAGTCTGTTTTAAAATACATATACTGTATAATCTGATTTATAGCTATGTGCTTTGGGGCTGTGATGGACTCTAAACTACACCTGAGTCCGATTGCAGCTTTCTGAAATACCAATAGAGAAACCTTATGACGAGTCTGGTTTTTTAACTGAGTTTTTGGATTCCAGAGAACTGGATAAAAGTGTTCTCACAGAAATAAAGTGTTCTGCATAAGTCTACTGGAAACAGTCTGGGAGGAATTCCAACAATGCTATTTTGGAATATTAATCAGCCAAAACAGGACATAATTTTACAAAAACAGTCTAGTAAATGGGACTGCTTGCATGACTGCTTGCAGGATCATTTTGATAACAAAATTGCATGGTCAACTTCTGAACAGAATTAGGTTTTAAGATCCACATTCTAAAAGATTTTTTATTCCAGAAGCTTATTAATATGCTAAGACACAGAGAAACAGCATCCTTATTGTCCCCGCTAGCATCATAGTTATTATTAATTGTATAGTCCCCAAAAGGTCTATGGGGAGATACAATTAATTAAAACTTCCTTCATGTGATGTGGTTTGAAGAAGATGAACATTTTCTTTTGTTTTTGTTTTAAAATAGCTATCACAGGTCCATATTGCTGGTGAATCATCCTAGATCACCAGACACAGCACATCCTGTCAATATGGCTAGGGAAGAAGTGCCCAGAAAGAATCTAATTCAACACAGTTTGACTAGGAGCTCTGCTGGGAGGCAGAAGAAGTAGCTATATGGATCGTTAGCAGTAAAAGTAAAAATACTTCTACGGAGATACCTTCCTTTCCTGTTCCCCAATGTAATAACAGAATAGTAGGATGACATCCTTATAACAAGAGAGAAAAGGAATATTGCTTATTTACATTCTCAGAGCACCTGATTCTGCTCTCCTTTATACCAGAACAACTCCACAGGCCTTCCTTCCTGCTTGAATCCTGAAACAGTGAGTTAAAATTTCTAATTTGGTAGCATTTTACAACTCACTCTGCACATATGTTCAGCAGAACAGCAGAATTATGAACGCCTCAGGAATGGACGTTGTTTGAAACTCTGAAATGTTCATAACTCATAAAACATATACCGAAAGTTTACAACTGAACTTTTGAAACTTCACTATGCAGAAGAAACATGTTGCTTTAAGCCATCTTAATTTAAATGAAACAAGCAAAGAAACAGTTTCCTTATCTTGTCAAGTCTTAAAAAAACCCTCTCCCCTTATTTTTGTAGTTTACATTTAACACAATACTGCACTGTGTTTTCTTTAACACTGTTAGTGCCCGATTGCCTACTTTCAGTTCCAAATGAGAAGTGTGGTTGACCAGTCTGTCAGGTCTGACTCTGGGGATAGTCTAACTACTATATATGACTATGCAATGTACAAGGAATTTAGAATCAGCATACTTATGGTGTGAGGAGAAAGCCCCAGAAACTGTCCTGTCCGACAACAAAAGCAAAATACACACACCCAGCCCAGTTACAGACAACCCTCTAAATATGGTGGTTCACAAACTGTATCAAATTCCCCTGACTGCATGCATTAGCCTCTCCTGAAAGTGTGATGTTTTCTCACTATTTAACCAAAAGCAGCAGTTAGTTCAGGGGGTAGGTAATCATTTTGGGGAGGTCTTACTCCAAGAATTTGGCAAGCGGTTGAGACCCCCACTCTTCCATGTTATTAAAACAGGCATCTCCCATTGGCCAGAAGCCAGCCAAGGGGACTGTGCTGGGGACCGGAGCAGTTTCCCCCTCTCCCCTCTGGCTCACTTTTTAAAGTGAAATCTACTCGCAGCCTGCGTGTGGGAGGAGGCAAACGGAAGCCTGCCCGGGGCTCGCAGCGTCTGCAGCTGGATCCGGTGGCTTGGCGGGTCGGATGGGCCCGTCTGAGCCCCACTTCCTCCGCTTCACAAACAAGAGCAGCGCAGCAGACGGAAAACACTGGGAAAGGAATCACTAGAAGTGAGGGAAACCGCAAGGCCCCCGAAATACCAACACGCGGGTCCCCCTGGCCCCTTGCAGCAAAGCGAGCGCTTTAGTTAACAGAGCGTCCGGCGCGGCTTCGGTCTCCCCAGCCCTCGAGCTTTCCTGTTCTGTGCGCAACAGCAGCGCTCGGCCCACGGCAGTCAGAGCTGCTTCTCCGGGGCTCGGATTCTGCAGCCCGGCGAGAGCCCCCTGCCCTGCCCTGAGCAAAAGGGGACCGGCCCTAGACAGAGCTCCGAGAGCCCTGGAGACGGTGGCCGGGGGCAGCCGCACCTAAGCCTGAGCCCGGCTGCAGCCACTCAGCTGGGTAGTGAGGCGGGAGCTGGAAGAGAGGGACAGATCCTCCCCTTCCTCCCCCGCCATGTCCTACCGTGGGCAGGACCAATAGGCGGGGCGGGGGAGGGGAGGAGTGAGAGCCGCTAGTTTTTGCAGTAGACAGATGGCTTCGCTCGCCCCCTCCAGATCTGTCCCCCATTCAGCTCCGTTCGCTCTCGGACCCTTCTCCCCAAGGTGCTCATCCCCCAGCTTTGCTACTCACGTAGATTCCTCTCGCTGTTGGCTGGAGCCGCTGCTGTCTGCTGCTTCCTGCGGACCCGGGCTGGGCACCAGTTGGGGAACGCGGAAAGCCCGGTTTAGCCTTCTTTCACTTCTACTTTGCAGTTCCCCTGCCCTAGCAAAGCCCTGCCGTGTTCGGATTTAAAAAAAAAAATAACATTTCATATAAATACCTAAGAATGGCCATACAGGGTCAGACCAAAGGTCCACTAGCCCAGTATCCTGACTGCTGACAGTGGCCAATGCCAGATTCCCCAGAGGGAGTGAAGACAAGAGGTAATCATCAGATAATCCCTCTCCTGTCATCCATTTCCAGACAAACAAAGGTTAGGGACACCATTCCTACCCAACCTGGCTAATAGCCATTGATTGACCTAACCTCCATGAATTTATCTAATTCTGTTTTTAAACCTGTTAAAAGTCCTGGTCTTCACAGCATCCTTTGGCAAGAGTTCCACAGGTTGCATGGAGAAAAACTTTGTTTTGTTTGTTTTAAACCTGCTGCCTATTAATTTCATTGGGGTATGTTTAGACTGCACTCCTCTGCTAGCAGAGGGTTGCAGATTAGGCAGGTCAAAATTGCTAATGAAACTAGGATTTAAATATCCTGCACTTCATTAGCATAAAAATGGCCACCACTTTTTTTCAGCATTGAGCTTAGTCAGAGAAAAGTGGCAGTCTAGAGGAGGATCTTTCGCTAAAGAAAGCCTTTTCCGATATATCCCTTATGCCTCATAATGGCTGCCTGTGCCACAGCATATCCTGTTCCTTGGGTTCAAGCTTCTGGCTGCTCTTTGGCTGAAGCCAACGAGATGCATCTTTCCCCCTCAGCAGTCAGCCCAGACTGAGCTGTACAGCTCCCTTTTAAACTGCAGCAGAAGTTGGAGCTTACCCAGCAGGGTTTGGGGGATGGGTCTTCCATTTCAAAGAGTACAGTCTTAACCTCTTCTTCTCCACTGCGGGGTTGGTACTCACTGTCAGATGCCCTAGGAAAAAATGCTTTGCAATTGAGTACTACTTCACTGAAAGGACAGGAGATGCACCCTCAAGTGATCTGGACACTCAGGATATGCCATGGCAACATTCCAGGAGACAGGTACATACCAACATGGTCAGCATTTAACTCAGCACTACACAAAGTACCAGACTGAATGATCCATGTACATATCCTGTCAGTCATTCATACTAGCTCCTCTGATCCTCAGTCCAGTTAACATTCTTTATGCAGCTGGAACACATGAAGAAATACATCTTCGGAACTGAAGCAAAATGACATGCATTTTCATAGATCTGATCAACAGCTGCAC